AACAGACAAAAAAATAAGAAATCAGGAAGGGGGCCAACACTTTTTCACGCCACTGTATCTACTGAAGGTGTGTTTTTTAATTTGTATATCTGGCATAATATAAGCTATATAATTTCCAATTTTGCACATTGTTAAATATGTCTTCTCATTTTAAGGCATAAGACTAAATAAAGCTGATGAGCTTGCCAGAGAAGAGATCTAATTTTGACCAATTGTCTGTCCGATGTTTCAGGGAGCCGTTCCATGCTGGCTGTAAGTCCTGCAGCGGCCAGCAGAGGGCACACTGACGGCACGTCTGACCTGATGGTGGATGCCTCCTATTACAACCTCTACCAGCCCACACCATACTCATCCTACTATAGCAACTTGTACAACTACCAGCAATACCAGGTGAATGGACATGCTCCTCATGTCAAGTGCAATTAAGCACCCCTTTTCAGTTTTTAAATTAATGTTATCAATTTATTTGATGCTAATATGTACCACCATTATATGCTAATAATACATATTATTATGATTATTATTATTATTATTATTTCAAATGGGACTGGATAATTTAGGGTTATTTCACCCAAAAATTTAAATTCTGTCATTATTTACTCACCCTCATGTTGTTCCAAAATATCTTAATTTGTGTTTCGAAGAATAACCAAAGTCTTATTATATATATTTTTTTTTTACACTTTATTTTAAGGTGTCCTTGTTACAGTGTAATTATACATTTAAGTACTGAGTAATATTAATTAACTACATGTACTTACTATATGGTTAGGGTTAGGATTCGGTTTAGGGTTACTTGCACATAATTATGCATGATTTATTGTTATTATAATAGTAAGTACATGTAACAAGGACACATTAAAATAAAGTGTTACCTGTTTTTTTATATTTATACCAATGTCTTCTTATAATGATTGAAATTTCCTTTTTTCAGAATATGTATTTTTTTGGTGAACTACCACTTTAATACATACACACATTAGGTGCAATGATAATAATAATAGTAATAGTAGTAAACCTGATATTTGTAAGATACCCAGTCCCTTTTGAACCTTCAGGCACCTTTATTGTACATGTAAATTTGTAACCAGAGTTGTTACACATGTGATGCATTACTTCAGTTAATTCTTTTTAGTAGCATAATTATGCACTGAAAATAACATTGCTTTTCTCCTGCTAAAAGTTACATATCTTATAGTTCTGGCATTACATTAGATGTAAAGTGTGGTTCATAATGTTTTATAATTAAATTTTTTTAAATTTTATTTCTTACACATTAGATGTGGTATTTTTTTAACTATAAAATGAGTTGTGTAATAGTAATAGTAAAAGTAACAGAAACTGTTCATGACAAAGATAAATTTTTTTTGTGATGTTTATACTTCCAAAAATGATTTACATTTATTTTGAATGAATCTACTGACCCCAAACTCAACCCCCTACTATATAGTATCTTCAAACCAACCATTCAGACATACAGTACCCCACACTAGCACTCTAGAAAACATCCGTGTGAACGCCAGCATGGTGCACACACCTCCACACTCACCCAGTCTGCATCCCATGTAGCCCAGGCCACGGTAATAAGGTGATTAAGTGTGTTGCAGGCGTGTTGATAGGGGCCGCTGACATTGGACCCGTCTGGCTTGTTGAAGTTGGCAGGCTGTAGTGAGCTTCTTTCCTCGGTGTACAGTGATAATACCTGTGCCATCGTTCCAAGCCACTGGCCAAACACAGCAGGAAGGTGTGGGGCTTTCATGCACGCTACACCTCTCACATGCTGTTTACATTTCGCCGCTCCCCCCACCCGGAACCGCAACTAATTCTGTCATTGGAGGTTTTTTAACCCTTATCCTTATTGTATAGCCAACTATCACAAGAGGACTGATATATCAAAGTCTAAATAATCATTGCTTTTAATTAGTTTGACTGTTATTGCATTATAACATTAGCTATATATGTTTTTGTTAGTTTACTATGATATTAAAAAAAAATCCTAATCTACAAAAATGACATATTTCCAGTTTTCTCATCATGCTGCTCAGGCATTGACGCTCTCACTCTTCTGGCAGTAAAATATTATTTTAAAAGTAGCTTACGGTTGTAGTTGTTGTATTATAATTACGTTTTAATGTAGTATCATATATTGCTAGTGTAAATTACCATTCAAAAGCTTGGGGTCAGTAAGAATAAAAAAATCTTTTTATTTAGCAAGGATGCATAGAGTTGATCAAAAGCGACAGTAAAGACATAGCTAATATTACAGAAGATCTCTGTTGAAAATGAATGCTTTTCTTTTGAGCTTTCTATTCATCAAAGACATTTTTTAACATTGAGAATAATCAGAAATGTTTCTTGAGCACCAAATCAGCATATTAGGATGATTTCTGAACAATAATGTTTACAATGAAGACTGCAGTAATGACTGGTGAAAATTTAGCTTTGCCATTCCAGGCAACAAATTAATTACACAAGCAAAATTAATTACATTTTAAAATGGAAAATGTTTATTTTAAATTGTGATAATATTTCACATTATTACAGTTTTTATTATAGGTTTGATCAAATAAATCCATCCTTGGTGAGCATAAGCATACAGTACAGTTTTGTAATGTTAAAACTGTTAAAGGAAATCTGATCTTTTGTGCAAAAGATTTATGTGGTCAGTGTCACACAAATTAGCCTATTAGCGGAATAAGGGTTAGGGGTTTCAGTTTGTAATGATAGAGACATTAACATATTTTAACTGATTTGTTGATTTTGATTGCTTCCATTGTCCTCATTTGTAAGTGCTTTGGATAAAGCGTCTGCTAAATAACTAAATGTAAATGTAACTGTATGGTTTAAAGATTTGCACCAACTTATAATCAGATGTACTGTACTGCAAAGTAATTATCAGTTTCTCTCAGAGTCAGATGCAAACCATGCAATTCTAAGTCCAAGCACATGAATCTGTCCTGGCAGCAGCTCTCCAGTGTGGATGTTGTCTGCATCAGACCATGCTGCACAAGTTTGAAGATGACCGTTAGAAGATATCAAACTGGACAGCATGAAATTGAGGGCATCCTCAAAGTCATGGCCCGTTCAACTTTGATATACCATCATCGCATTGCAACAGTTTTACAAGCCTTTATTAATCAGCCATCACCCACTGACATTAGAAAGAGTCTTCATTACCATGACATAATATGATTTTCATATGGAGATCACCCTGTGTATATGGACTCTGATTTATATGGCAAAGTATCCTCATTGTATCAAATCTGATCTACTCAAGTGTGAAGTAAATTAAATCTATATTTCTCCAGGGAGCCATTCCTGAGTGTTAAGTCAGTGATGGGGCCATAGTTTAGCATATTTGTGCAGTTGGGACCCTGATGGCGACATATTGCTCCAGGGTCACCGCTTCCATCTTTTTATTGTGTCCCAGGGTTTGAATTGCAAAGGTTAATGATATTGCTCATATAAAGATACAGCTCTGTAGAGGGGGAGTAACTTTAATTCTGATCTCCCATTGCCAGAATTTGACTATTTGAAAGATGAATGTAGGAAATATGCTATGATTTTTTTTGGTGTTTCATAGTAAACTGTTGTCTTAGTTTGTTTCATTGTCTATTGGTTTGTTTTTAGCTTTTGAAAAAAAAAAAAAAATGTATTTAACATTTACATTTAGCAAGTTTTATTTGTGTGACGGTGTCATTATTTTATGATTAAAATTACATTAAAAAATGCAGTTTGTACAGATACTGACTTGAACACAGCTTTTATTTTCTAAATGTTTCTCATTACTGAATTAAAATTCAGGTAACACTTTATTTTGGGGTGTCCTTGTTACACGTGTTACTTGTACTTACTATTATAATAACAATAAATTATGCATAATTACATGCAAGTAACCCTAGACCAAACCCTAATCCTAACCCTAACCATATAGTAAGTACATGTAGTTAATTAATATTACTCAGTTCTTAAATGTATATTTACACTGTAACAAGGACCCCTTAAAATAAAGTGTAACCAAAATTAGTTTTGGGTTTTTTGTGGAGCATTAAAATTGCAAAAAGTTTAAATAGTTTAAGTATGGTATGGTAGTTTCATAAAAATGTTCATTAAAAAGAATTAAAGGAGCAGTTTACAAAATAATGTTTTAATGGTTTGTTCATCAAATCAAAGGCAATGCAATTCAAGCCATTTTGAAGAAAGGAAGAAAACCATAATACAGGAAATCACAGATGGGACCCCTAAAGATCCCCACGACTGTGTGTCAACATTCAGTTTTTTTATTCTTGTATTGGATTATTAGATCTTTTGACATGAAGGTTACAGTAGTTCAGGTTGTCGCATCAAATGGAATTACCTCAAGAAAATTTGTAGTGTCCATGATTGAAAAACTCATTATATTATACTGTATATTATAATTATAAAATTATAAATAGTTGTTACCATGAAAAATCTGGTAGTCAATAGAAGCATGAAGCATGATGTCTTTGTTTCTGCAAGAACGATGAACCTGTAAGAAAGGCGTTATTGTGATTTAGGTTGCATCACTTAAGAAGGATTTCTCTTTCCATCAGGCTGTTTTGTAATCCAGAAACTTCACAGTTGTTGGTATGCAGTTGTTTGTAGGACATTATGATGTATTCTATCTTATGTTTACAAACTCATAACTTGTTCCATGAAACTTTCCATCATAGCTTCTTCTCTTTATTAGGGTTCATTTGATAAGGAAGTAATAGGGTGAGGAGCTCATCTGGCTTTTATCTTAGTGTGTCCATCTCCCGCCCTCTCCCCCACCTCCAGCAAGTGGGGCTCCGCTGCACTGCAGGTGGAGAATGAAAATATGAGGGTTGCGTAGAGGATCCAGACAGCTGATGGTGCCAGATAAGAGCTCACTCAGGGAGGTAAAGGACTCCAGCCAGCCCTTATTAATGATCCAACACAGCAGAGGTAGCACAACGCTAGCAGGCCTGGTCATTTCTGTGGGCAGTTTTTTATTACATGAATTGGAAATCACAATGCGCGTTTAAACTGCTGAAGCTGTACTAAGCAAGCACTATGCAGTGTTACCAGATTTTGCCGAGATATGTTCATACCTGAGATAGAGATCGGAATCACAGGGAATGACGTTGAATGATGCATGAATTTTATTCCACTTGGACTTATTTTGACATAAGTGTTATGGTAGGTTAAGAGTGGCATAGAAAAGGCATGAAATAGTTGAGTAGCATAGCAAACATTTGGGCACACATTCAGTGTTTGTCTCTTGCTTGTTGTGGCACATGCTTTTTCCCACCTCCTTTTATTTCATGTACTTATTGGTGGGGTACTGTTGAAAAAATTCAGTTCAATTTGTATTATATTTGTCATAGGCAATACAAGAGGCTGACATTGTTTAAATAACAGTTTATAAACCTGTCAAGAGTTGATGGGGTGGACAGTAAATGGTGACATATTACTGGCTGACAGAAATCAAATTCCATAAAAGTGAAATTGAAAACACCCTAACGCCTCTGTGCCGTCAAGTAGACAGCTTATTTTAAAGTTCTCGCAAGAAGGAAGAAAACTTGCCAGAGCAGTTTGTTGCAGTTTATTTTGAAAAAGAAAAAGAGAAATAAAGCAATCTAGGCAGGAGGTCAACCATAACACATACTGGCCATTTTTTCTTCTCCTCGGACTAGAGGTTTATACGTCATGTATAGAATGTATAGACTGTTTTACTGAAGCACTGAAACACTTGATAAATGCATCATGCAGTGTGCAGATAGAACTCAAGATCCGGTTTAGGACCGTCACTGTTGAGGTACCATACACCTTGTGTCCAATTATATGATTAAGTATGTCTTCTGGTTCAAACAGGGACTGTATGAGGATGAGAAGATGGACCAATTATATATAAATAAATAAAAGGAAGAAATTCAGGGTGTCTGCGGGGTCTTAAAAAGCATTAAAAGTTGATAAATCAATTTAGAGAAAATTAAGGCCCTTAAAAAGTATTAAGTCTTAAATGCCATTTTCCAAGGTATTAAATTTTGTATCATCTTTTCATTATTTATATTTGTCGAATAGTGGGGTTCTGTGTATTTTATTTATGGAATCCCGCAAGATTTGACTTCATCTGTTATGGCGCTCACTGACTGACTGCGCCGCTTCGTGATAGCGTGGGGCTTGTTGATCCTGCTCATGCTGAATTTCTGACCATTACCGCATGCTCCCATCCGCTCCCGCGATTTCTGTGTCCACTCCCGCAAACATTCTAATATTGTATATAATTTTTCGCGCATCAGGGCGCCACTATCAATATGTGGGGTATTTAAATCCCCTTTGAATGAGCGCTTGCAGTCGTAGTTCACTTTCACTTTCGATTTCGCGATCGCGCGCGCACTGTGTAAAGGGAGCACATCTTACGATAAAGGATATTGGTCGATGAGCTCAGGATCTGTTGAGGAGCAAATCCTCCATCATCTTGTCAGTTATCTCTCCTTACTTTTGGCACGTGATCAGGCAAATCTAACTTCTGCAGCTCGCGTTGAATGCAGGGTTGTTGTTGTTTTTTTCCACGAAATTGGGCTGCTTTTAAGCTGTTGCCATGGGTTGATTTTCCCCAGTGGGTTAAAGGTTTGAAATATTGCATAAATTACATTTGGTTGATATGCTTGTACTGAAACATTTTGCATTCTACCTGTAATAAAACTGTGCTAAATGTTTTGGGCCACACTAGTAGGAAGCATGAGTTGATGTGACAAATACATCTTTTGAATATACTGTGTGAACTCATTGCCCCGTTAGGTCGGAGAGCTTTATTTTCCCTCCTCAATAAGTTTTGTCAGTTGTTTTGTTTATTGGTCTAATTCTTGTTTCTTGGGTTGCATTGGTTAGTCACTCAATTAATTCTCTTGTGCTTCGTTCCCCCCCTTCTGAGTTATGTTGTATTGATAAGGAGTTATCACAAAGTAAGTCTGTTTAGTTGCGTTATCTTACAATCAATATATAGTAAATGTAAGTTATAAAAGTGTCGCCGATGTAACCGGTTAAAACTTGGAGTGGCGATGAGGTCTTAAAATGTATGGAAAGAGTCTTAAAAAAGGTCTTAAAAGGTATTAAATTTAACTCCATGATTCCTGTATATACCCTGAAATTGCAAAACTCAATAAAGCATCTAAAGGATGTTCAGCCTTTCAATTAAGACTTATTGGTAAAGCCACTGTATAGTCTTAATGGACTTATAGTCACTGTTTTGCAATGTACATGAACATTAGCTGGACCAACATTTTAAAAATAGAAAGAGTCAGAGCATCCTCCTTGCAGAATAAAAATGTTAATTTCTTAAAAAAACACTGACCCCAAACCTTTGAGCAGTAGTGCACTTTTTTTTTTTACTAAAGAAGCAAAATCCTTGTTGCATTCATATTGCTCAGCATTCATCACTTCATTCATTGTCACTACTTAATCTAAATTATTTTTGACTATTTTATTGAAGAGTAGAAATTAGCCAAGCTGTATTAAAACCTTGCGGTATGCTGAGCCTTGCATATTGACATGTTTTACAATTTTGAAAATTATGTGCGAATGTCTGTACCTGCAACTTTCAAAATGTGATTGTCTTTCTTTTTGATTCTTGACTGTTGATAAGATGAGATTCTTTGTGTTGTGTTAACTTGTCTTTTTTTTTCCTCCACCTCTCCCAGAATCACATCCCTTTGAATCAGATGCCCAGTGGAAATGGTCGCCATAACGTGTCCCCCCAGTACCGAACACACTCCTACTATTCATCTTACCTGAGTCAGGGGCTCGGCACAACTGCATGTGTGCCACCCAGCACCTGCCCTGAACCCAAAGCAGCAGGTCAGTCCCACACACACAAACATGCTCTTAGGGCCATAAACTTTTATCCAGAGATTATCAACAGTGTGAGCAAGTACATCTGAGGGAGGTTCATACTCTGAGTCAAGGGCGCTGTAAAATTTATAAAAATAAATAAATTCAAAGGTAAAACTTTTATGAGAGTCATTTGTTCTGGTGACTTCAGATTTAAAGTGACAAGGACCATGTGCTAAGCGCTCCAGTCTTAGAACATAGAAATCATAAATTGTATTTTCAGATTTTTCCTGTGCCTTTCACTTTGTAAAGCTATACAGTTTGAACTGACACGGTCTAAAATTATTTGTAGATTTTAAAAACAGTAATGGCTTTCTGTGCACCATTTTGAACAAAAAAGTGTTGAAGGATGGTTTAGTATGATTATGGTCTTTCTGTGATCCACCATTCCCGTATACCTCCAAGCTTGCCACCTGCCCTGGCTGTTAATGATTTTTACATGCTGATTTCCAGTGGTTTCAACATAAGGGTGTCTGTCACCCCCACTATCACTGCAGGGGGTGTTATGTTCCATTACACGCAAAAGACGCCAAGCTGGGTGGTCCCATCTCCAAAACAAACTTACTCGGAACCCAGTGAGGAGTTTGTGGTCTATTATTTGTTTCCTGTACCTTTATACAGTACCCTAATGCAGGGTTTTTGGGGTCTGGGGATCCACTAGGGACTCTGAGTTATGAGTTATGTTACCATTGTTTTAGCAATGTTAAAGTTAACGTGTTAAGATTAAAAAAATTATTAATTAAATATGTACAGTATATAGTGGTGCACCCTGAGCCAGTTTAAAAAAAACAAAAAAAACATTCATTTCGGTTGAGATGTTAAACTAATCGCGATAAAATTGGGGGTGGGAGATTATATGATTGTATTTCTTCAGTCTTAAGAAAAGTTTATGTAGTAATTTTTTTTCATCATGCCTCTATATAAAGCATATTAAAGTAAGTGTAGCGGACCTCATCTGAATGATGACCAAAACTTTACTGATGTTTTATTAAGTTTATTGCGTCCTTTTTCACTCCAAAAAAATCACCATAAGAGCTAAACAAAACACAGCACAAGAAGTGCACATTAAACTCGCTCTCTCAGCTGCATTATCATCAACATACAGCGAATTACACAAAACACTTATTACAACTAACAGTAAACAAATATATACAGATCTCATGCCTTTTCGGTGGGTGCTTAATAAACGGACAAACTTTAAATCCGAAGAACTGCGTGCTTTCATTACCCATATAACGTTAGCTCCGACGTAGACTAGAAAACTCGTCAAAATAAGAGTCCTGCCTTAGTAAAGGAGATCTCATACATATTTAAACTTACAAAAAATATTAAAATGTATACAAAAACAAATTAGAAGATTAATCATAATAGTCTGTTACAATAAAGAAGGATTAATATGTATTTAATTTATACAGTGAAGTGTTATTTTACATTTGTTTACTTTATTTCTGTACCTGAAAACTGTTAAACCTACCTAAAAAGGACTGTTTATTTAATATGTATCTTTGTTCTATTGTATTTATGTAGGCCTGCTGAATGTTAAATGGATCCAATCCATGTTCATTAGAAATTATTTGATGATGCAGCAATAAAACTGCTAGTATAATTTAATGCAGGTGTTTTTGAACTTTGCTGATTTAAAACATGATCAAAATACTATCTATTTTAATGCCAAAATTTCAAATAAGCGAGGAAGTGACAAATATCGGTATCGAAATCGGCCAATAAGTATTTGTTAAAATCGGTATCGTATCGGCACCAAAAAATCCTATCGGTGCATCCCTACCTTAAACCTATTTTGTAAAAAAAAAAATTGAATTGTTTTTTATTTTGAAATCGTGAATCGTATCGCATCGTGAGTAGAATGAATCATTACATCCCTAACAGTATATGTCCAGTAATTTTAACAAATAAAGAATTTGGCAATAATTATTTCATTCTGCTTTCTATCCAGTTTTTTTTTTCTATTGATAGCCCTATAACATAAAAAAAGTAAATCTGCATATACAAATATGTATATACTGAAATATGCAAATTTGTATTGAATGAAAATTTGTGTTTTCAGTTTAATACATCTAATATTGCTCTAATAGTAAGTAGGAATAAAAGATATGTTAACTTAATGCAAAGTAAATATTTTCCAGATAATATTTTAATTATTTGCTTCAGTACAATGACATTATAAAAGCCACTTATTTCATTGCGTGAGCAACATCTGTTGTCTTTATCACACTTTTATTTTTTCACACCGTAAATTAACCTGTATAATATATGTAGCTAGCTGTCTTTATATTTTTTTGAAGTGGGTCTCCCAGAACAGAATCATCTTACATATTTGGAGACCCTAATGAATCTTTAGTCAGCATAAACAGACATTTTTATTTATTTATTTATTTTGGTGGATGAAACTGGGCTAATAATGTTTAACATCCTGTTCCAATCCTTTGATTAGAGAAGATGGCCGGATGACACTGAGTGACCATCCACTCCCTCTTTGGTCAGATCCCTAAACATCTCATGGTATTTTTAGTGCCATATTAACAACTTTTACAGTCAGACCTGATTAGCTGTGACTAGTGGTCGACCGATATGGGTTTTTTGACAGCTGATGCGATATCTTGGAAAGCAGGGTGGCCGATGGCCGATATAAAGCCGATACAATTTTATTTATTGTAATTTATATTTAAGAAATTTGAAATCATTTGAAAATGGATTAAAAATAATTGAGTAAAATAAACATACTTATACTTTAGAAGACGAAGCATTTTTCACAAATAAATAAATATTTAATAAAAATCTAGTTAAAAAGGAAGTAAACACTAACACTGTAACCAACAGGGCACTCAGTATACAGTTTGTGTGCATTGGGAATCATATATATATATATATATTTTTTTTTTTCAAATAAAGCCAAGGTAACACTAAGGCACCGAAATCTGTGTTCGGATTCGGTTCTAGTACATACCGGTTACATAGGTACCGGTGCTATATCGGTACCGGGTTTCAGTACCCAACCCTGGAGAACACGCGGGATACAAATGCACACTTCACAAGATCTCAACTAGATTCGACTAAGTCTGCAAGGTTTATGAGATTAAATGTTCATTAGTCTTTCAAAGATTTGTTTAAAGGGGTCATATGATGCGATTTAAATTTTT